ACCAGAATGCATATAAGTACAGTAAGATTTCCTAAGCAGAGGTTGTGCAAGCATTACCTTTAACTGTGGAGAAGTGATCAAGTTTAGCGATTATCTGTGATGCAGGATGGCTCAGTGGGGCTTTAGTGAGGGAACTTGTTTATTATTTTGATATCAAGTATTTCCTTCTATTGCCCCTTCTAAGCCGCATCGTTTGATTTCCACAAACAACTTGGAGTTTTTGGGAATCTATTAATGTAGATGTATTAGTAAGTATAATTATATGTATTAGTAGCCTAAGGGAAAGCCATTAGATTCAAATCTACCTCAGCACTTCCTAAAGAGAGTACCCGAGGAAAGTATGCGACCTTGAAACTTCCTCAGTTCTTCCTTAGGAGACTGCCCGGGGAAAGCCATCGGAAAGTATGAGACCTTGAAACTTCCTCATCATTCTTCCTCGGCTCCTCCTATGGAGTGACTTACGGGAAGCCCGCCGGAGGAACTGAGGAATTGAAAGGTGCGGACATTTTGCATTACTGAGGAGCTCCGCGGGTGGAATTCGGGAAAAGTCGGGAGCTCCGGGGGAGGTTGAGCGATTCCTCCGTGGGAGCTACTACGGAAGAATTTTTGCTATATGGGATGTAATAAATATTTCGGACATTCACCAAAGCGACTATGTGATTGTCAACGTTCACCGGTGAAAGTCAACAACCACCGATTTCAGTCATTCACAGAAACATGCACATCATTTGCATAATAACCTCATCAGGACGTTTGTTTCATACTTAGCCTAAATAGCATCCGGCATTATATACAATGCCTAGAACATTTGTGAAATATAAATCATTTCATACTTTGCCGGCTAGTTTTAGGCATTATATATAATGCCGGAATTCATACTTTGCCGGTAACATATATATACGTTACGGTGAAACACCGAAATTTGGAGAATGTCGGCATTCACCGGTGAATGTCAACATTCACGTAGTCGCCTGGTGTATGTCCGAAATATTTGCTAAATACTAATATTTCTGACTCTCTCCGGTGAATGTCAACAATCACATAGTCGCTTTGGCGAAATATTTGTTATATCCAGGGTATACCGGGCAGTGGCACTTAACCTTAAAAAAACATCAGTGTAGGGTTAAAATATCGAATAAATGTAATTATATCCACGAATAAATTCATATCAAATCGAATGTAATAAATATTTCGGACATTCACCAAAGCACATCTGTGATTGTAGACATACACCGGTGAGGGTCCGAATGTACAAGAATATAATGAAATATTCGATCTTTCACCGACGTATTTGGTGTTTGTCGACATTCACCGGTGAAAGTCAACAACCACCGATTTCGATCTTTCGCCGATATATATATATATATTAATGAATGTGTGTGTGTGTCCTTTATAGACTCCTAAACCATCCGACAGAACGGGATGAATTTTGCCATACAGATACTTGAAAGCACGAAGAAGGTCACTGTCAACATTAGAACATTCTTCGACAAATCGTTCCTGCAAGATGAGCGAAAAACGAAATGGAATTTTCTGATTGGTTATGCGTTTGCCATTGTTTTAAATTTAGCGATTCAGTTATCACATAATTTAAAGATAACATCAGATGATAATTGCTAGCATACTGTTTGAAGATAAAATAGTTTATTGCACGTACTTAAATATTTAATTATTTTATTTTCGCTATGTCAGATGAGTTCAATGAACATTACGAAGTAACATCCGTTATTTACGGCATTAAATTTATACTTTGTCTGATGCTACGCGATTTTATTTATATTAATTCTTTTAAGAGTCTTTCTAAAAAAATACTTATTTGAAATTAACGGTAATGAAATAGAAAAAAAAATTGTTTATTAATATGAGAAATCGAAAATTAATAAGAAAGTGGTACTAATTCGTTTAAGATAAACATAAAAACTCGACGCTAATGAGGCCTAATTAATTAAGGTAATATATGCATATTGAAATAAGCTACGTACTAACTAGAAATGGAGTATTTATTTGTCTAGAACAGGGGTTTCCAACTTACATGAGGCCGGGGGCCACAATTAAAAACGCAAATCAAATGGCGGGCCACAACTTTGTCAAAATTTTATGTAAGACTCTTTTATGTTTGAAGGAACATTAAATATTACTGTCAGATTTTTACCAAGTTGTATAAAACAAAAGTATTAAATTAGAAATTAAAATAAAAAGTTGATTTTTAAAAATATCTAATTGTTATTAGTAATATTTAAAAAAATATTAAATAAGTAATAAAAATTCGGGCTACAATAACTTTAATGTGCACCTATGTATTGAACAATATCTAATTGTTGATATAAAACTTTAAAAAAGTTAGTATTAAAAGTTGCATAGTAGCGCACAAAATGTTCAATGAGAAAATTGAGGTCTGTCTGCTGCGACCACCAGAGAACAGATATTTACATTTAAAATTTTCAAATGTGTGTGTAAATATTTTCGTCCTAAATAAGTGGTTTCAAAAAGTTAAATCGGAGAACTTCTTCGAGAAAATTTCTGATACACACATGCTAAATTATATTCAGAAAATACAAAAAAATGAAATAAAAAAAGAGCAACATACACGATTATTTTTGTATTTAAATAAATATTTTCTTGGATGCAAAACCTGAGAAATAAATTTTTTTGCATCGTTGGTATGTTAAATCTCACAGAAACGAAGAAATTAGGTTTTTATTAACGAGAAAAATATTTTAAACCCATATAGATTTTTTTACGAAAATTGTCCGCAAAAAATAACAACTAATATATTTTAGTTCGCGGGCCTGATGCGGCCCCCGGGCCGCCAGTTGGAAACCCCTGGTCCAAAAAAACCATAGGAAGTCGGCTTTCTATCATTGACGATAATGATGTTTAATTAATGTTGGTAATATGTATTAATTGAAATAAAAAAAAGTAACTTCTGTACTAAAATGCAAAAATAAGGAGAAAAGCGCTTTGGGTAACCGTAAAAAATCTGTGCATATTATTATTGACACTAATTCTCAATTAATATTGATGTGTATTAATTGAAATAATATAAAATAAGCTATGTGCTAAAAAGCCTTGCCCATGGAAGAAAGATTACTGGAAAATTCGCTTAAGAAAACACTAAAATTTCGCCATTCACAGATGATGCTAAATTCATATGCATTCCTGACTACTGGTATTCGGTAATTGGCGACGAGTTTTCCGTAGTTTCAGAATATACTTTTTCCAGTGGTAGCTAAAATAGTGTATTAATATTTTAATGAATTAGAATAACTTTTTCCATCACCACTTTTAATTATTTAAACAATAAATAAAAGATCAGATAGAGAAATAGTCATGCCCCAAAATCCTTATGAAGTTGTTTTTTTTTCTTTTTAAATTAAGCGGCTTTAGTTGGCGGCCACTGACAAATACTTATAAACTCAAATGTTTAAGGATTATGTAATAAGTACCAAATATACTTATATAGGTACAAAATATATTGATATATTTGGTGATTATTAAAACTGCACCAATACCTATACTTAGGAATTAAGCGCTTTACGCCCCCTCGAAAGGGATGTGTGTATCTGAGAAAATCATTAATAGTGGTAAATTTTAATTATCATGAATCAGTCGCGAGTAATAGCATCATACCAAGAGATGCTAAATACATTTTATCTTTATTCCATTGGTATGAATCACAAACAAAAAGCTCTTATTTCAATAACGTAACGTCACCAACATATAACATTAGGCAACCTAGATTACAACATATAACATTAAGTAATACAAAAAAAATATTTTAGCTATACTTAGTGGAAGAACCAGGTAAGTGCCATTTTCAGAAGGAAAAAAGAACACATGCATCTGAATTATTTTATTACCAATTTATTAGAAGGTGAGACTAATAATTCCTTGCTTTATTTTATTTACTACCACACATAACGTAACTACCACTGCAAATATTAAATACCAAATCACTAGTATATAAGACATGTTAACTTGATTCTCTCACGAGGCACCTTTTGACAGCTGAAGGTTGACATAGTCTAAGAATAAAACCCCCCACAAATGGTGACTAGGACGTGATAAGAACTTGTCAATATTGATTTATGATCCACATTAAACAGTTGATTTGTTTAAAAATATACTGCTCGAGGGAAAAAAAATCCGGTGAAGTAAATAAAGTCTCTCGGTCAATAAAAAATGAACAAATGTCTTAGAATATGTCACAAAAAGAAATGCTCCAATATTAGTTAGAGCTAGTAAGGTTTGTTCTTGATGTAAATGTGCGAGCTTTGCGCCAAAGTGACGTCACTAGAGAAAATCGGAGGATTGGCGCGACGAGAATTTCTTCGAAGGAGTGAACCAGCCCTGACCTCAGACAGGGTCCTCTGCAGAGAGGATGGCTCCACTGGCTAGGTAGGCAGAAGACTTGATCATGAGGTGGAGCACTTAACGGTAGAACAGCTTAAAGGAGACTGCACCCTCTGTCCTGTTGCAGGCTAAATAAAGTAGTCACACACACACTCAACTGCTGCCTGTATGACTGGTGCATATTATAGAATTTCCGCACTGGAAGAAAAAAAACTAAACAAATCCTAACTCAATACATTAATCATGATTTTGAAGCTAGATTAGATAACAAATTTAATAGGAAACCTTGCTGGGTATGATAACTGATTACTTTCTTTTAACCCTAAACTAGGCAATTTAAAAAAAACTGCTTTTAATTTTCCAGCTACATAAGATAACAGGATCCCTAAGTAAAAAATATTTTGCCCTCACCAAACATATAAATTATTTCCTGCTCAATAACCTTAATCCTAGGCCCATGCACATTCTTCCCACCGACTGCAAAAAATACATGGACATTGTAACCTTTCAAATGAACTAGGTAGTGAGATGAACTTGTAAGTACCTTCCTAGATTGTTGGACAAATGTTTATGAATAGCTTACATCTGCACATGTTTATGAACCTATCGGGAGTACCTACTTAAGAATAACAAAAAAGAGAAACAGATGGGAAAAATTTAAGTTTTTATTATTGGCAAAATTTTTACATATGAATTCGAACTAAAAGAGTTAAATATCACAATACTGTAAAAAATTTAAAAACTTTACAGAAGCAGAATTATAAGTTTTAAGCAAAGTCATAAATAAAAGTATCAAACATATAGTTTAAGCCAAACAAATATAAAATAAATTTTTAAGACTGTCATTAGTGAATTCACTTAATAACAAAACCGTTGACTTAGTTATATTTACATATATACATAACAGCAGTCAGTTCTCAATGTCAGCTCATACAATTTTCAAGAGAAAAAAAAAATTCAATTCGGCCCAGTAGATGGCAGCTCCATTTTAGAGATTCATTTGATACTTTTATAAAATAGTTCATTTGAGGAATGAATGAAGTACAAGAGGCAAAGGTTAGACTCTAATCTGAAACCACATTTTAAAAACCTTTTTATATGAGAACTAATTATTAAAATGAAAATCTTCCATCGGGTGCAGCATTGGGACCACTAAACTCATAAGCACCGGTTTAATATCTTCATCTTCTTCTTCCTGAAAACAAAAATATTCAATTCAAGAAAAACTATTCAAACATTTCGACAACAGTTTGTTTCACCCAATTTATGAGAGAGTCTTTGAATGGCTAACATACAGGTCTATTCTTTTAACGGAAAATAATTTTATAATTATATAATTCACATTATTATTCTTATTTTTCTTTACAAATTTCATTGAAAATCTGAAACAAAATATTACGAATCCTAAAAGGGGAAAATAAAGTCTTTTGAAATTTTTATTTAAAAATAAAAGTATAATAAAACAGCTTCAAATTAACTAAATACAAAAATATTAATTAGATAGCTAGAAATGATTTCAAAAATTGTGATTTGAGTCCCCAAGACGAGCTTTAGTTATCTTGAATTTACTGATGATAAGGGATAAAAAGCCTTAGCTAAATACACGTTTTTTTAATATTTTTTTACATCAATTTTCACATATGACATGAATAAACTGAAGAACCTTCATAGATATATTTTACATTGAATTAAAGGGAAGAAAAACAAGTTGATTGGAGTAATAGTTAAAAAATAATGAGTTTCAAGCATTGAAAATGCAACTGTTTACTAACTTTATGCTTAAAACAATTTTAACTTAAAAACAGAACTTACTCTCTACAGCTCTGTCAACTTACTTTTGATTTTACTGAATTCAGTGCAAAAAATACATAAACAATGTTCCACTTATTTAGATGGCTAAGTCAAACTCCTTAATAGGTATAAATACAAAAATGTTCTTGGACATGTCTTTTAATTATCAGTTTAACTTTGTTTTAGTTTAATTCTTTGCTTGCAAATACTTAATTTGCAGATGTGCAAATTGTATAAGAACTTATAACACAAACCTTTAAATCAGTACTGTTTTTCTGTTTGTTTTGGTATAACTTGATTCAGCAAAAAAAAAAATCATTACCTTACTTGTATACATAGTGATTTTATATATATTAAATAACTTATCTCATCTCAGAAGAAAAAACTTCTCTCAAATTGAGTTTTCTTTTGTGACATAGGAATTAGCTTGTAAGTAACTTGGTGAAGATGACATGCCTTTTAATATGAAGTGATTTAGAGGAAAAACAATTTAAATGAAAAAATCTTCAAAACATAAATTTTAACAAAAAATGTAACCATTGACCCTTCTTTTTTTAATCTTTATTGTTTTAATATTTAGATAATCAAATTATAGTGTCTGGAATTTGTTGGTCATAAAACATGTTATGATGAATTTTAAAAATTTATGCCAGCTTTTGGAGCAGGGTGGCCACTCAAATCAGATTTCACATTTCCCTGATTTTTCCAGATAAAAATCTTAAAATTTCCAGGTCTGTGTTTCTTTTTTCTTATAAAGTGTAGGATGTGTACAAGAAAAATGTCTATATTATAAACTATTTTACTCAAAATGTTATTTTTTTTTAACATATCATCTTGAAAAAAATTATTTATTTTGAAAATTTGGCAAGATTTTTTAATGTTTTGGTACAACATTAATTTTTAAGAAATTAAGACACGACGTGGAGAAAATTAGCTTGTGGAATATATTGTTTTTATTGAATAAATTTTTTTAATGTGTTTCTTTAAGTAGTTTTTCTTCAAAGTGTACCTAGCAAATGATAAAAACAGAATGACCAATAAGACCTAGGATAAGTCTTGTTTAATATATTAATAAATTTATATAATTACAGTGGCTCCCAAAAGTGTTCATTAATTAAAATGAATATTTCAGAATGGGTATTTGATAATAAGATGTATAATCTAATCTTAGCAAAACTGCATGGAATATTTTTTAAAAAAAACAAGTTTCTTTTAAAGATATCAATAATCAAATAGCAACAATAGCAATAATCAAATAGCAAGTCATCATACGCTTAAATGTTTTCCGATTTCAGAATTAAAATTATCGTCTATTGCTTTAATTTGTTCCTTTAATTATTTTTAATTTAATTTTTTATATATTTATTTGCATTGTAGCATCAAGCTTGTGATAGCAAAATTATATTTTAATTTTTGCTTCACCGTAATATTTGCTTTTATCATTTAAAACTGGCTCATGGCCATAACAAAACAATAGGCCAAATTTGAAACTTGATTATTTGTCATCATAAGAGGTAAATCAGTAATGAATATTGTTAAATTAGATTAATAAAAATCTTAAAAGAAGGATTTCATATCAGAGATTAAAATTATAAAATTTGTGGAAAAATTCATAAATTCACAAATGAGTGTTGTAAAAGTTTCTGTAACATTTAATAAAAAATATTCTGCTCGAATTTCACCCGACAAAAAAAAAAAAAAAAATAGTTACTTTATTTACAAACTTATAAACGCTATTGTAGATGTAAAAGGAAACTCTACTAAATATTACTAAATAGGAAAATTGGAATATTTACTAATAAGCAGAAATTTTTACTAATAAGCTATATAATAATTTTTACTAATAATAATTTACTAATAAGCAGAAATTTTGTATGATGACTCTTGCGCGATAAAGTTTTTGTTACTTTTTGATGATTGATTTCTTAAAAATAAAATTTTGCTTTGTTTTTAAAATATTCAATACATTTTTTATTATTAAATAGCCATTCAGAAATATTTATTTTAATTAATGAATTTTTATTTCCCATTTCATTGAAACTCATTCATCACTTTTATGAGTCACTGTATTTACAATCCAATATAAAGCTGAACTGTATTTTGTATTTTATGGTTAATACATGGTAAAGAAAAAAACCCTCACTTTCTAAAAGGGAAATTAATTACTTTTTAAAAACACCCAAGAAAAAAAGCACCTTAAAGGGCTTTTAAATAAAGAAAATAAGCACTTTTTAAAAACGCAGAGCATCATGGTTACAGTGTAGTGTTTGCTTTGGTTCCTAGGAATTTGCTAAAACAGGATTCAATTTTATAACAATTATAAAAATGATAAATGCAATGAATACCTGCTCTTTTCTCCAGGCTACTTATAAGAGGAGCAGGATCAATGCCACCCATATCGTATTTACATTCATAAGGCAGAAGATGTTTGTTGTACTGCATCCTCATTGTATATACCACACTTGAAGAAGAACCAATTCCTAAGAGTTCTGCAATTTCCTTCCACATCCTACCTTTCATCACCTGAAACATCCAAATTATGTCCAACTGATCAGTCTGCTAAATTTAGTTATACTTTGTCGTAAAAAGGTTGATATATCTTTTATTTATATATATTGTAGACAAATCTGAAAATTTTTTTCCAACGAAATATATCATACTCCCTGTGGCAGAATCGCGGCGACATTGTAGCAGAAGTTACTGAGTTCTTGCAGAAAGATTTTTTCTTTTTGGGAAGTAAAAAAAATTTCATTTTCTTTTGCAAAAATGTTAGATTTTTTTCCCAGAGGGTAAAGAAATGCTTGCCATTTTATTATTTTCATTTGAGAAATAATATACGTAGTAAATACACAAGTTGGCGACCTTTGTGCTAAAATACAATCTAAGGTAAACAACGTTTAGGAGCACAAAAATATTTATAAAATGCAGACAGCTGTTTCGGATGCTCAAAGGGCAACCTTCATCAGTACAACAGTTGCACTGATGAAGGTTGCCCTTTGAGCATTCGAAACAGCTGTCTGCATTTTATAAATACTTTTGTGCTCCTAAACGTTGTATACTTTAGATAATATATGCAGTGTTTTAATCATTTACCCCCCCCCCCCGGGCAACTATTGCTTAATTTTTTTTATTTACTTATTTTTAAGAAAAATAAGTGCTTTCTATTGCTCAGATACTGTTATTGATGTTCTCATGATTATTTTTTTTAAATGGCGATATTATTACGGCAGGCAAAGTTTGAACCCCGAATTCAAGAAATCACTCTTTAACACACTCGTTTCCCCCTCCCCCCGATATCATCATTGATTCATACGGTGTTTCAATCGTTTTTCCGGCAGCCATTGCTATGAGTTTCCACATTAAAAAAAAACATTCTCAATGCTTTTTTAAACAATTTTATTGCATGCGAAACTCACTATCGCTTATTTGAGAAGTTACTTTTTTAATGCGACGATTGCAAATTTTTTTTGGCAGTTATAGCAAGCCCTATCAATTTCCAGGTTTTTTTAAAAAAAATTCCTGTTATTTCTCAGCTGATATTATTTCTGCATGTAATCGCACATTTAAATAAATACTTTCTGATGCATATCACAATTTACGCCAATGATATCATAAATCCATAGTGTTTTGATTGTATATCAGACAGATATTGATTTTGTTAGACAAATAAAGGATAAAAGGGTATAAGGTTCGATCTTCGTTAGTCGTTGAAGAGGACGATCTCATGCATTCAACTTGTGTCGGTGTCGCGATGGTCTGTGGGGATTGGCCAGTTTCTTTTCATTTGCTGTTGGTAGTTTTTGCGTGGATCATGACTTCATCCATCAGCTGTGTAAAGAGTATTTAAGCTTCCACTGAAGCAAATTATTTTGTATTCTTTCTTTTTGTTAGTCACTTTGCTTACCAATGTTTTTAAATAAACTTATTTCTTCAGAAACTTTGTTTTATCGACATACAGATATGATATTCTGCGATAATCTCGGATGTCAGATTTTAACTTTGTTTTTAAAATCAGATAGTTTTAATATGAAATTTATTACAACTGAATCTCGAAACGAAACACACATTTGAGTAACCCTTTTTAAAATGTTCCAATTCGCATGATTTTGTCACTGACCTTTTTTTCCGGTAGTTGCGGCAATGGATTTGACGATTTTTAATAAGTTTCTTTTATAATTTGATGATGATTTACAAAAAGTAAAAAAAGGGCATAATTAGTGCGTTTTTCTCCTTTAAAGACTTAAAATTCATTTTATCCAAATAGAATTTTTTTTCCATTAACACGTTTTTCCCACTTTTAATTATAAGAATTAAAACTATCTTGCAGAAAGATGTTAGTGCTAGAGAGGTTTGTCGCAGAAAGCCTGAAAATATTCTGCCACAGGGATCATACTTTGCAATGTAAACCTCGGGCAAACCAGTCGTTAATAAGTATTAGTATTCTCTGTTAAAATATATCTTATTCAAATTTTTTTTTTAATGCTTGTAATAACAAAATATATTTAATACCACAATTGGTGTCTTAAGACCTGAAATATATGAAAAATAGTTAAATATTTTTAAATTAATGATAAATAAACATTTTCAATTTCATGATTGCTTTATTTAGTATTAATCTTTGAAATAAATAATATAGTTTTCACTTGTGTAATAAATATTTTCAATCAAAATTGCTAAAAAGAAATATTAAAAAACTTTCTCAATACATCACCTAGCTCTAACAAATCTGTCAAAAACTTAACACAATTTACCTATACACCAGGGCTCGAAAAAACTCAGAAATTTTACCCGTCCCCGAGGATGGCTTGTTTAATAATGTACCCGTCCTAATTTGAAACTAACTCGTCGCTTCTAAATAAATAAAAATATTATTTTTTCTTATTACAAACATTTATATAAATTACACAATGAATTAGTAGCTACTAGGATTACATCATACAGTAATAAAAGAAATACTAGGTTACTAATACTAAAACCTAGTATTTCTTTTATGAAATAATTTATTTCTTTCATGTAATAATTTAAATGATAAAGGTTAAGTTATCTGGAACGTCAATTTATCCAAGGGTTCTTTAAATGAATCAAATATGACGTTTGCCAGTTCCCCAATCAAGCCTATGATTGACAGAGGTTTCTGCACAGAAATCTGAAAGGGGTTTTCCATTTAGGTGAATGTTCATAATTGCGTTTAACGCTTATGTAATGTGTTTTTTTGTAAGTTCATTGCTGAAAAGTCCCTTTCAACTGCTGCAGTACTCCCAGACGGAAAAATCATTCCACCATGCGCAGTATGTTGCTGTACGGCAGGGGTGTCAAACTCGCGGCCCGAAATGAAAATTTTTGCGGCCCAGTCAATATATCCGACGCAGAGTAAAAATAAAATAGAAATGTGAATTAGAAAGGAAACTAGCATATGAAATTAAAATATACTTTATTTATAAACTATACGGATCATTTTAAATTGTACGAGCGAAAATGTAAAATTCTAATTGGTTTGCGGAACCTGCCATTCCAGGAATACTGCATCGTAACAAAAATATGCAGAAAAAATTTCAAATCTTAAAGCAGAATTTCAAACAAAGATTAAAAATTCTAATTCTTTGAAAGACAAATTTTGTTTGTTTTCTTCGATTTTCTCAATAAATATAAACTCAGTAAACAGTAATTATGCAAATGGAAGTGCGAATCAAATTTGACGGCAAAATTCATTGAATTTTACAAATATTTACCGGTATGACACCCCTGCTGTACGGGATTTCTAGATTAGAGGATAATTTTAGAAGTGAGGCGCTAGACTCCTGTAAGATAAGAAAAATTGAAAGTGTATCTTGAACATTAACGGGAAAATGGCCGTCCGCGCGGACGAATGATTTCGTTGTCTGCGGGAAATTTTTGACCGCCGAGGACGGGTGGTCTTTCGAGCCCTGCTATACACAATTTTATTCTTTGATATTAAAATAATTATCAGTAACTAAATAAATGAGAAGAACCTTTTCATTGAAACAGGTGGTTAAAAAAACAACCTTTTATAACTATGTGAACATTAATAAATGGTAGAGAACTTTGAATTTGTTTGCAATGGAATGATAAATACCTCAACAAAGCCACCCCTTTCTTTAACAGCCAAGTACAGCCTGTAGAGATCGAGTGGCTGCTTGCTGATTGTAGGACATTGAGAGAGAGGAGTACCTTTCTCCTCCTGATACATGATTAAGTCATCTAAAAATAATCTTCTAACAGGATCATCAGAGATATCATACAATATCTGCAAAAAAAACAACACATTAATAATCTTCTTAGATGTCATCGTACTCATGCAGGGTTGCCACAGAGAAAAACAAACAAAATAGATGCTTTTAGTAGCCTAAAGTATGAAAATAGTAGCCAAAAACTAGGAAAATAGTTGCCTAAATAAGAACAAAAATTCATCAAAAATATGACTAAAATTTTGTTAATGACTTAATTGTCATATACCATGATACATTCAGTCAAGTGGCAAATATGATATTTTTTATATAAACGTTAATGTTTATATAAAAATTATATATATATATAATTAATTATATATATGAAAAGTGATCACCCCAATTCGAAATTCAAGCATCGTAATATCGTATATATATATATTTTTCCTTTTCAAATCATGCGGAATTTCGTAACAATAATCATTGAAAAGGCGATCGAGAAATGAAATAGATTTACAATGGAATCTGTGCTCAAATTTGCAATTAAAATTTTTTTGAAGAATCTGTGTTCCAAAACTATCTTGTGGGGTGCAGATTTTCCACCCAATTTATGCTTGAAAAAAAATCCCGCTAGAATTACAGAAAAGTCTCCCACCAATAGTCTCCTCTTCCTGAAAATAGTTGCTTTTTTAGCCTTTTCAGGCAAAAAAAGTTGCCAGTCACCTCATGCCAAAAATAGTTGCATTTTAGTTGCCTGTGGCAACCCTGCTTATGAGATCAACCATTGAAATAAGAGACGACGATCTAGAATTTGGTTCCTAGACTTATTAACTGATTGATTATAATCCTGTTTTAAACAATACAATAATTTTAAGAGATTTGTACTTTCTAATAATCCAAACTCATTTCAAATATACTGGATGTCTTGATTTGAATCAAACTGCAGCTGAACTGATTGCAGAGTATTGCACATTACAGCAAACAAAATTTCATTCAGGAAACTCAAATGTATTTTGATCCAAGCATTAAGGTTTCGTATGTCAATCGCAAAAAAATTAAAAATTATTTTTTAATAACAATAAATGGAGAGTTATTGAAGTTGTTTGCAATCGTAAGAAATTAAAAAAAATTTTATATGAAGGTTGTTGTTTTTACAAGGTTTAAATTCTATAATGAGTTAATTTCTGAATAATGCATTATTTTCAAAAGTACCATTAATAATAAAAATGAAATAATATAATATTATTTTTACCTCTATTGGGGGACGATAATAAAATTCATTACTGATGACCTAAAAAGTAAAAATACATTAATTTAATTCATTCATTTAGAATTATCATATCATTTCAACAGAGCTCATTCTAGGCAGAAAAAAGGGGAGGGTGCAAAAGTTTAAAAAAAGGGCAATATTATTCTAAAAAGGCAATAATTTCCTTCTATGTGCTTTACATGTTCTATTAAAAAAAAATTGTCAATTAGTAAAAGAATTATTTTTTTTAACTTTACTAAAAGTTGCAAAGCAATAATATTAATTACTAATTTTTATCAATAAATTAACATATATATCGAGTTAATTAGCTAAAATTAGCTTAGTAATTTATTTAAAATGTATGCGCATATTAATAAAATAATAAATGTATAATTTTAAGTGTCTGTAGTTATGATTTAATAATTAAAATGATTAACAACAATTATGATTTAATGATACTGGAAGTAGCTGCTAACTTTCAAAGACAAGTGCAACAAGGGGGTGTGATGGCTATTTTCCCTTTCCCATATAAATCTATGTATTGACAGCAATAACAAACTAAATAAAAAGAGTTAAAAACAACAAGTTTAAGAAATCCATTGTAGAGTTAAGAGGAAATCCAAGAAATATATATATATATATATATATTCAAAATCCAAAAATTTGACAAAAAAGTGCAATTTTTAAACTTGTAAATCATGTGATTATAAATCCCGATGGTTAATTTAAAAATTGTATGAATGAATATGCATCATATGCATGATTTAAAATTTAGAGAATAAATCATGATGCCTAATTTTTAGATCACGTAAATACGAATCACGATGCATGATTTTTAAATTGAGCAAATATGAATCCCAATTTTTGAAGCAAGCATCAATATGAAAATCGATGTTTGATATTACTACCACAAAAATGAATCACGGCATTTGATTTTAAGCTAGCGTGAATACGATTCACTACATAAGCTTTTAAAAGCACGCAAATACAAATCGCAAAAAAAATTTCTGCGGAAATTAGCAGGAGAAATGGAAAAATCTGGAAAAAAGAGGAAATCCGCGGAAGAATCACTAATTATTAAGGAGAAAAGTAAACATTCTTGAAATGAATAAAACTATACTTTTATACTTCTAATTTTTTTATATATATAAAACTACGTAGATTTCAGCAAGCAAATGGCCCTTAAGAAATATTAGAACCCTTGGTGAAAGCAGTTGGTTTCAAACAGGTACAGTTACTAAGTAGAAAAACCCCATTATTTGCATAAAAAATAAGACTAAGGTAAGATAAGCAGGGGTCTATCTAGGTTTTTCTGAGAGGTACCTATTTTGTGAAAAATTAAAAATTATATTAAAAAATCAACAGAAAAATACGGATTTGTCGTTTCTTACGGAATACAAAAATAAAATTTTAAGAAAATGTATTTTGTGAAACTACCGTTTTTCCTAAAGGTGAATTTGTGAAACTACCGTTTTTTCTAAAGTTAAATTTGTGAGGGTACCGCTAAACGGTAGTAAATTCGGCCTGGTCAGACCCCTGGGTAAGTACAAATAAAAATCAGTTAACTGAACCAAAGCTAGACTAAACTTTCAAAAATATAAGTCACAAAATGCTCTTTTAGTAGCATTTTAAAAACACAGGTTTATCTTTTTTATAACTGATAAATTTTAGTAAAGACAATTGCATTTATGTATAATAGATATATTATTAATAAATTATTAAAAAAGGGACAATAATTAAGAAAGATAATATATTTATAATTAACAAAATATGATATTAACTTTAAATCTATTTCATAGTTTAAATATATGAGAATGGTATCATTCATACATTTTTTTTATAAAACTATCATAATTATAAGGGTCACGTTATAACAGGGTTTGAAAAAACCCGGGGATTTTTGAAAAAACCCAACCCGCCTGGGTTTTATTGAAAAAACCCGGGGAAAATTGGGTTTTATTTGAAAAAACCCGGGGAAAATTGGGTTTTTTCATTTAGTGCTCATAAATTTTACTGTGAAAATATTTTTATTTATTAAATAGTGTTGTATAAGTAAACACTAAAATTTCATCTGACTTTTACCTGTAATAAAATTAAACTGGAATAAATATTTAATGGTCTTCCATGTTTTTATAATACGATTAACAGAAAGTGAAATTAAAATTACGTATAATTATAAAGAGTATCAGTTACTTGCCCCTTTTTTCAAATATTTAGATAAATATATGCATTTTTAGATACATTTTAACTTTATAGTTTCAAAAGACAAATTAATCTTAAAAT